GAGGGGATGACAGTGTTGAATGCTGAGCTAAAATCTGCATCTCTGTGAAACTACATCCTCTGTCCTCCTATTGCTGCGGTAGGAGAATGGTATGGGTCCAGTGTGGGTGGGAGGAGGCAGTTCTTCAAGTGTGCTAGGACCAGTCGCTCAAAGCACTTCATTATGATGGGTGTGAGTGCTACAGGGCGGTAGTCATTCAGCGCCTGTCGGGCTGGAGTGTTTCAGACACTGGGACAATGGAGGTGGCTTTGAAGGCATGCTGGCACAGCTACTTGGGGGAGGGACAGGGACAGGTTGAAGATGTCTCGTAAAAACCCCAGTGAGCTGCTCCCGCACGTGTGCTCTAAGCACACACCATCTGGACCAGCAGCCCTTTCGAGCGTCGATCCAGCTCAGTGCAGCGTGGACGTCTGTGGAGGTCTGGTCATTGTCTGCGTCTCCTGTTGTCTCTATCGAAACGAGCATAAAAGTGATTTAGCTCGTTCAGGAAGGAGACATCTGTGGTTATCGGGTGGAGTTGCTGGGTTTATAATCACTGATGGCCTAGGATGCCCTGCCACATGCGTCTGGGGTCGGAGTTGGAGAAGTGTTCCTCTACCTTCAGCTTGTAAGCAGTGCTTGGCCTTGATGATGCCCCTCCTCAGGTTTGCTCTGGATACGCTGTAGGCCATTGCGTCTTCTGATCTGAAGGCGTGTTGCGGGCCTTCAGCATTCCTTCACAATCTGGTGTTATGTGAATTGCAGCAAAAAAATAATAAAAAATAAAACAACATAATTACAGACGTCTCTGCTGAGGTGGAGAAATATAACATGTCAGCATTCTGCCTGCTCGTTGCCTCACATGGAGAAGTGTGCACATCATTTATTTTATATTTATCTTCTCAAAGACAGTAATCATCAACCACATACTCCTTGCAAGCTTTAATGCCCTCTTCTTATGTGATAAAAGTTCACTAATCCTAACGGTGACATATTTAAAAGAAACATACGATTACAGGTTATGATTAAGGTGAACTTTTAACATTCATCATACAGAGGCTGATTCATAACAAGACCAAACCAAATCCATTCAACCACAAATATACAGCTGTTCCTTTAGTGTAAATATCTATAATAATACGGGTTGGGGTTGTAACTCTGGCCGCTGCAGCTACATTTTTTATTTAGATGAAAGATCTGCATTAAGTACTATGGATCATCACAAGGTGTTTATTGTTTTGCTTTTAATGCAGCTGGAATTGTAAAAGTTGTCATTGTTGAAACTGGACTAAATTAAATAAAGAGTTTCCACAATCAATGAAAAAAAATCATTGCATTGACAATAAACAGAATTGTGGACTGATGAAAACATTTAGTTGTAGAGAGCTGTGCAGCTACAGTGGCTACAATGATACAGTGGAAGGACTTGTTCTCATTAAAGAAAACAAACTACCTCTGGTTGTTATACTTCCCCTCTTTTTCATCTTTTTATATCCAACCACTTCTCTTATAGGCTTATCAGACACTCACAGATGTAGTTTCATCTTCTATATAACATCAAACATGTTGAACACACTGACATGTCAAACTATTTGTGTTTATTAAAATAGAAACGTGAGATGTGTGTCTCAGTTTCCTTGTACTGAAAGAATTACTAATAATGCAACTTTATAACTTTATAACTTAATAACATTTCCCAAGGCCTGATGAGAAATGCTTCAAATGATCAAAATGTTTTTTTCCCTTTTTTTATTAGCTTTTTCAAAGTTGAACAAACAAAAATAGGGCAGTAACCATAGACTGTAAATATTACTGGACGAACCCTGACCCGTCTGTGACATAGGCAGAAAATGAGTCCTCTCTCACTCACACAATGATATTCCACATCAAATTGTCTCAGATTTTGTGAGGAAAAATTAAGCAGTTTATTGTGGATAGTACTTCATCTTAACATGAAAAAATATAATCTGAATTATTTAAATCATTAACAGGTCCCAACTCTCTGTGCTTTAGTACAGAATATACAGTAACTCATCTGTTATTAACATGAGCTCAGTACATGGCTGTATTCTTCAAACTATTTCTTATACTTTATATCTATGTGCTTTAAATCTTATTTTCATTCCATATGTTATTTATATTTTATATTTCTACTGCTATATTCTGTGTATGAGTTCAGTGAAAATTAATATGGTTATTAATATAGTTCTTAATGGTTACAGATGCTCTTACAAAGTGAAGTTTTTTTATTTGTTAATAGTTTGCTCAAACCTTAAGACACTACATCAACCATGTAACTTTAATGTCATCCTCTATAACCTACACAGCACATTAGGTTCAGTTCAGTTTATGTTACTGACGGATAATTACTACACAAAGTTTGTTTTTTAATGTCCACATTTAGGTGGAGTATAACATTCATCATAACGTCAGATAACCATATTTACAGTCTGTGGTTAACCACCGAGATGAACCTTTAGCTTCTAACATCACACAAACTCACTATTTTCAACAACAACATCTTAACAACAAACATTTCTAAACCATTGACCGTAAATAATGTAAATAATGTAAATAATGAGCTACACAGTTAGCCGACTGGTTTACAAGCTAACGCTAAACAAGCTAAAGGTCCGTAAATATAAACACATGAGTAAGCAGTAAATATAACACTACTATATCACTTACCGAAGAAACTGAAGCATCAACTTGTTGGATGGTCTATTAACCGCACAGCAAGCCATGTATGTTGTCAGATATGTGTTAAACAAACTCTCCAAACGATGTAAGAAAGAGGAGAAATCAGACGGATCAAGCTGTTAGCCTCCTGACCTGCTGACCTGACAGACAGATGCAGCGCACAGAGCTGTCAATTAAATCTGACACAACCAAATATGGGCATAGTCGTTTTCCTTAATAGAATAAAATCCGATGAGTTATAAAAAAATTCACCCCCCCCACAGTGTGAGGAGAAGGGCCGTCAACTTCTCAGATACATCTCGTTTTTTGAACCAGGCTGTAAACATGTTGATTCCTGTGGTAAAAACGGGCTTTTTTGGCTGTGGGCTTATGGCACTTCCGGCGCTTCTGCAGCCAGCCTCAAGCGGAACCTCGAGGAACTGCAGTTTTTTGTACTTCCGCATAGGCTTCATTTTTGGAGACCGGAGGTTGCCCCTTGGCAGTAACCCATACATTAAAATAATCAATACAACAACACTACAGGTAAAAATACAAGTAGTAACCAAATGAGATATTCGAGGCAATAAGTAAACCAAAATAATATGCACACACACACACACACACACCAACAAATAATCTCACACATACACATATCTTTATACTGACAATAATAACAGTCATACATGCAGCGGTGTAAAGAGTACTAATATATTCTACTCAAGTAAAAGTACTGTTACTTTGATGAAATTTTACTTCAGTACAAGTAAAAGTACCAGCTTAAAAATGTACTCAAGTAAAAGTAAAAAGTAACTCGTTTAAAATGTACTTTAAGTAAAAGTTACTTAGTTACTTTGAGGATATTAATCTCAAAGTTTTGAGATTGAGATGTTTTAAATGTTGTTGAATCAGAGGTCATCTACACTGTTATAAAGCTGTCTCAGTACTGCTTGCCTGTTCTGCCTCTCTGTCACTTCCTTTAGCTGCATTACAGCTTCACTGCATTGCTCCATCCATCCAGCAGATGTCCTCGTTTGAAGACGCTCAGCCCTGCACCATATTTACTGTCTCTTTTTCAGACAGTATTGTGGATGGTTGTTTTTTTTTATGATACATGTAGTTAACATCATAGTTGTTTAAAAATGTAGAAGTTTTACATCTTCATCTGGTTATATTTTTTTCCTAACTTTAGCGTAGAGATCGTCTGGACTGCCAGCAGTCTGTGTTCCACTGTTTCCTCTCCCGGACACTTTGACTTGTGCATACAGTGTCTCCTGCTGCTGTCCTCGTCCTGTACCGAGTTAAAGGACTCTTCATGTCTCATCTTGGAGAAGTCTATCTCTCCGTAATGGATATTTTCTTGTACTTCTTCCTCTGTTTTCCTTGCTGGCTCCTCAGCAGACATCTCTTCACCTGGTTGACTCTGAAAAAAACAAATCACCATTAGACCTGTGGGTTGAACCTTCAGCAGGATGCAATAAATATTTTCAGACCCATCTCATCCCTGATTAAAAAAATGTAGTCATTCTCAGTTTTACTAGAAATGTGTGAAAGTGTTGTGATAACTTAATATTGTGTTTTTACTTCATCTCAACTAATGTAAAGTTTTCATATTTCCAAAAATGGTTCAATAGAAATTAAAATTATGAGTCAAAAGGATCTTATCATGACGTTGTCCCACATGTAAAATATATATATGTTAAAAATGGCATTTTTAAAGGGGCTAAAGGTGGATATCATATTCCCTTACAGTCAGAAGGCCCCTGGTTCACATCCCTATTTGGTCAGGACATAAAAGTTAACACCATGTTGACCAAACTACTAAAAGGATTCAAAGTTGACCAGGGGGGCACCGGTGGTACAGTGGTTAGTGGGTGCCCCCCATGTACGGAGGCATTAGTCCTCCAAGCAGACAGCTGCAGGGTTAAATCTGACCTGTTCCTCACTCTCTCTCTCTCTCTCTCTCTCTCTCTCTCTCTCTCTCTCTCTCCCTGATTTCCGACTCTATCCACTGTCCTATCTCTTGAATAAAGGCAGGACACTGGACTGGAGAAAGAAAAACATCCTGTTTAAGAGAAAAAGAGACAGGATGGGTAAAGACGAGCTGATGAGTTCAGATAAAGGTAAAGGTCCTTTTATTCAAAGCATGGAAAAATAGTGTGAACATGTTTTTAATACGTTTTCTTATAATTAGTTTATAAAAAGCTTAAGCTGTATTACACCACTATCATAGTCCTGCACTGTTGTACTCTGATTCAGACTGAAACTAAATACTACAACGGTGTGCATAAAACAGATCTCTCAGTTACAGTGTAGCTGCTGTGATAACAATATAATATACAGCATAGCAGCACCTTCCTGCTTCACATTGTTTGTGCTGCCTTGTTCTTAACATGTGCACTACAATCTGTGTTTAATATCAACATGGCAAGTCAAGCAACATTTCCCAAAACCCAAACAAGTGTGCATGAAATTGATCAAATGCTGATGTTGTCAGGAGTTCCTCTGGTCTATGAGTCCTTCAACTGGCAGCACGGAGTCTTTGTTGGAGCAGCCATGAGGTCAGAGGCCACGGCAGCTGCTGAGCATAAAGGTACAAGCTCACACAAATCATTTAAGAGTTGTTCTTTGAAGATAGGATGGTGAGGAAGTTACTATAACTACTGCTAAAGGATGTCATGTTTCCTTCAGGAAAGGTCATTATGCATGACCCCTTTGCCATGCGTCCATTCTTCGGTTACAACTTTGGTGACTACCTCGCTCACTGGTTGAGCATGGAGCGCAGGAAGGCCCCCACTCATTTACCCAAGATCTTCCATGTTAACTGGTTCAGGAAGGACCCCGCATCTGGCTCCTTCCTCTGGCCCGGATTTGGTGAAAATGCCCGCGTGCTGGAGTGGATCTTCAAGCGCTGCGGCAGGGAGAGTGAGGATGAAGCAGCCAAGAAGAGCATTATCGGCTGGCTGCCAGTAGATGGCGCCGTCGACACTAAAGGTCTGAGTGGCAACGTGGATATGGGTGCTCTGTTTGACGTGCCTGTTCCTTTCTGGCAGAAGGAGACAAAAGAGTTGAGAGCTTACTTCACTCAGCAGGTTGGAGCTGATCTGCCAGCTCAGGTGGAGGCTGAGCTGAAGGCTCTGGAGGACAGAGTACACAATTAAAAACCTACTAACATGAAGTCCATCCAGAAACAGGGAGGTGGTCACTGACTCAACATTTAGACCATCAGGGTGCAACCAGAGTCACTGGCTGGGTTCACATACACAGAGAAGTTAATATTTGAAGGGATTCAGTTCAGGAAAAGTGAGACAGATGTTCTTTCTCTGTGAACACAGTCAGTGATTTTAGTGAAAATAATCTACGATGCAGATCCTACACATTGACACTACTTGACATGAATGCTGCATCACTGAGGGACAGGTTTGCTTTGCAACATGAAGGTTAGATTTGTTTGTAGTTGTTAAACTTGTCATTAAGAGAAGCATATGTCTACCTCTATTCTCTCACATAACCTGGCATGGTCCTGAAGCCCAGTCAACCTGGCTCTGTAGGGCCTTTGTGACATTTAGCAATACAGTTTCTAGGCCTCTAATGTTTACAGGCTAATACCCAAAGATTTAGCAAAATTCTGACAGAGATGGATGAGTTTTTAACCTTTTATTTACAAAATGATTTCAAATGAATTTTAAGCATCAGTTGTTTAAAGATGCTTTATTAAAAGTTTAACAGAACGCTCTTAATATTCACATATACACAAAATAAAAAGTCCTGTAAGTAGTCAATATATTAATTCATGTACCCAACGAATACTATGCATAATCCATTTTGCCACTTTTGTAATGTTTGTGATTCAATTCCTTGATTTCAGGTGATGTTTACACATAAATATAAAATGTTGGACCAATAAGTGCGACTGAGATTATTAGGTATTTTGAGGAGACAAGGTTTTTATTACAGTGCAATGAATAAATATCTTCAAAAGCAGAAGCTTTGCCTCGTGCTTATTTTTGAAGTTTTTTAAAAATACAAATAAAACATGGGAAACAAACAAGGTGAGAAAATGGAAATAAAAGAGAAGTGATGGAGATTTAACATGCCTCGTCAAAAACCATCAAATTAAAGCATTTTACAATAAAACTAAACATATAAATTAAAGGGTAATAAAATAAAGTAAATGTGGACTGCAACTGCTTGTAGTAAGTTTAATATAAAAAAGTCCCTAATAGACTTCTGTATGTTTTAGTTGCACATATATAGAGGCTGAATATTACAGCAACAAGATTTCAGTCAGGACCCCTTTGTCAAGAAAAAATACTTAATTGCAATTATTTATATTTGGCAGTATGGCTCTGGTCTGGGATCTCCCTGCCCTTCCACATGATAACATGGAAAGCATAAGGCAGGGAGAGAAGCAGCAAAGCCAAACAGAGCAGGCATCAATGACAACAGCATGACATTGATTAAGTCTGGACAGCATGAAAGGAGGAGCTGGGGTGGAGGAGAGTTGCAAATGCGGCTTGCAGAGGGAGCAGCAAATAGTAGGCAGGCTAGAACAGTTAAAATAAGGTGTCATAAGTACTATTTGGCCAATTTTAGGATCCTTTGAAGAAATCAGCTGGCCATCAGCTGATGAGGTTTGGGTGAGATCAGCTGTTACTAAAACTCTGGCATGATAGTAGAGTGTGACTCCGTGGTCTTCCTGACCTAACGCTGTGCTCAACTAGATAAAACATGAGCTGTAATAAGTAAAAAAAAAAAAAAAGGAACAAAAAAAAGTTGTATAATGAAACTTAATGAAATGAATTTAATCCACTCATTTTTTCCTCACTTGAGCGTAGATATCTTCTGGACCGTCAGCAGGCTGTGTTCGGCTGCTTGCTGGCTTGGACACTTTGACCTGTGCATACAGTGTATCCTGCTGCTGTCCACTGTCCTGCACTGACACAGAGAGCTGTTCAGGTCCTCGCACTGAAAAGTTGATCTCCCCGTAATGGATGGTTTCCTCTGTTTCATTCGGTGGTTGATAAGTAGCCAGTACACCATCTCCTTGACTCTGAAATCAAACAAGAAAACATATTAAAGGCAGGTGCTATGTTGTCTCCCTAAGTGATGAAACTTCTGAGGAGAGCCGTCCAGGAGTTGATTTCTTTTTGAAGTTTGTCTCAATAACTCATATATTTGCAATCTAAAATGATAGTCATGTATTGTAACATCTGGCAGTCACTTAAGGTAAATATTTTGTATCAACTTATCTCTATCTAACAAAGCAAACTGTTAATGCACAAATTTAAACCAAATATTCACTTTACTATTCTTTATAATGATGCTAGGTGAAAAGTTACCTTGATGAAAGAAATCAATATGTACAACAAAATAATCCAAATCTAAAAGATTAAAGGTTACTTGTGGGGTTCCTCAAGGGTGGGTTGTAAGTCCTGAATGTTTTTAATACTGTATATTAATGACATCTGTTAAGTTTCTTAACTTTTAAAATGTGTATTATTTACTGATGATCTTTACTGCTCTGGAAATATCTGCTTCTGAATACAGTGGAAAGTGCAAAATAAAGTTTAATTTTTGGCAACTGGAAACTCTAAAATCAAGTTAAAATCCAGATCAAAGATGTTGCGATATAGAAAGGGAAAATGAAAACACATTTCATGGTGGGATCATTGACGATAAACTTTTTTTGAAGCTGCATAAAATTAAATCTAAAATGTCACATTACATTGTCATATTAAATAAAAGTGAGGATATTCTGCATCAGAGCTCATTATATGATCGACTGTGTGGAGGTATGAGGGACCACATATAAGATCAATACCTAGAGGAGAGCAAAAAACAATGTTAGTAGATGTAGCTATACTGTGAACCAACCAATGCACCATTTATACATTTATATGAGTTTATTAATTAGTAGAAACTAAAAGAGTACGGATACCGGTAATATACAAATGACAGGCTGTCTTGTTTTTTGACTTCCTACTTGATTATTATGAAATGTTTTTGAACTCCAGTTTGTTTTATTTTCTATGAAATGTTTGAAACTTAGTTTTTTTATTGGTGTTATTTAAACGTTGAAGTTAAAGGGTTAACAAGGTATAGACAGTAAACTTAAGTTTCAGCTTACACCTCTTTGATTTGTTTTATGTATGTATGTTATTTTTAACTTGAGTATAACGTCTATGTAGATCTTTATGGAGATAAATAATCACTGATTGAATAAACTGCTACTACAACTCATATTTCCACCACCAGCTGACCTCTGACATATTGCCTGCTTAGAATAAAGACTTTAGCTTTCTCACAGCAGGACACAGTCAATGTCAACAGATATATTAAAACATAACAGAGTGTTCAGTGTTGAAGTATGAGTTAAGTATGTTCCCACCTGGTTCTGTTGGGGAGTTTGATGTTTCCTCTTTAACCACCTGAAAGACAATAGAGATCATGGTTATACTGGTGTCGGTGAATTAGAGTGTGTATAGAGACTTAATGAACTAGTCCACATGAGGAGATACTTCTGATTGGAAACTAGAAGATCAAAGTTAGGAAACAACTTTTTTTCCCTTTTGGGAGATTTATTCATCAGTATAATGCAAAGGCACTGCTCCTCTGTTGGAAAACAATGACAGCAGATGACAGACTCATTTATTTCCTGACTAGATTTGTGATACTTACCAAATACAGACAGCGAGGCAGACGACTACGACAATGATCCCAAAAGCTGAACCCCAAAGAGGAGAAAGAGGAGCATCAACAGGTTTCTCTGTTTAGTGAAAAACAAGTGGAGTTGTTGTTATTTTTATTATTATTATTAATGCTTTTATTGTTTTAGTAATAATAATAATAATAATAATCATTAACATTATTTCTTAAGTTATTAATTATTAGTAATGAGGACAAAAGGTGTTTTCAGACCGCAGGAACTTTGTCATAGTTCTAGTAACTGTTTGAACCCTCACCTTTTTTATTGTTCCCGCACTGCAGGAACTATGAACTATTTTAGTTCCTAGAACCCGTTAAGAGGAACCTCTTTAGTTCCTGTTTCAGAGTAGGTACTCTCCTAAGAGGGACTTTGAGCCATCAGTCATCAGCCGGCCCCCTCTGCAGGCTGACTGAGGTAGGGTAGGGGATTTTATTAACTTGTTTATTTTTGTCTCTCTATTCATTCTTTATCTAGTCCAAACTTCTCTTACACTTTACTTCTTACATTTTCTCCTCCCACACACACACATGAACACACACACACACACACACACACACACACACACACACACACACACACACACACACACACACACACACACACACACACACACACACACACACACACACACACACACACACACACACACACACACAACATAAATAACACAAGCACAAACAAACATCATACAATATGATTTTACACAAAAAAAACAGCAAATTCTTGTAAAAAATGTCATAAAACAATTGTAGAAGTTCATGTAAATTTAATAATTTGTAAAAGATATCAGTGTTAAAACAGATTCAGTCTGAAGGATTTAAAACACTTTTTTGTTAAAAACCTTTGAAATATACAGATATGTCTGCCAAGATTTATGAATCTGTCATCTACCTGTAATGTCTATCAAGATAATGCATGTGATTGATTAGTTATGCCTGCTGAGGCCTGAAGGGGGAGCTCTCAGCTGCGATGCCTCATTCTGCATGACGCTGACAGAGGAAGCATCGTGTCTTGAGTCCATTTATTCATTTTACACTTTTTCAGGGCACAACACACAAACACACACAGCCCTTCAACATCCTCACACACACACACACACACACGCACACACACACACACACACACACTCACACACAGACGCACGCACACACACACATAATGTCACAGTATGTCACTAGTTCCTGCTCGTTTCTGTTTTGTCTTGTTTTTGTCGTCTAAAGTGTTTAAACATAGAGTCACATCTCCCACATAGTTTTGCTTTAGTGATATCTGAATTAAAGAAAGGTTGGGTGGTATGCAGACATTTAGAGTTAATATTGCAGCGATCATTTGTTAAACTGTTTGATACCAATGCAGTAAAGAGGGTACATTCAAAAAGAGATGAAAATAACCGACCAAAACACACAAACAGAAAACAACAGAAGAACAAATTAGAATAAAAGAAGAGAAGCTTTTTCACTTCTAGTTTTTACCTGCAACACTCAGATGGATCTGTGGTGATGTCTGATTACTGAGATCATTCATGGACACACAGTAATAAACTCCTCCCTCTGTGGCATTAAAGCTGTAAAACTCTCCTTCAGATACGATCATGGGTCCATCTCTGCTGATCTTGAACCAGGTGAAGCTGCTGACAGGAGGATTGGCTCTGCTGGAGCAGGTCAGGTTCACATGAATACCTGCTGACACCAAACCTGATGGACTGATGGACGCTGAGGTGTTTTTAGGAGAATCTGAGGAAAATGTAAGATAAACATATTTCATTAAAAACAGCAAACATCTTTAAAATCATCTCATTCTGACAGGATCCAATAACAATCTCTGGTTGTCTCACATGAAACTCTGAGAGTCTGTGTCTCCTCTGCTGTCTTGACTTCTTTTCCTTCATTCACAGGATATGTGGCAGAACAGGTGATGTTGTATCCATCATGTTTGTCCGTCAGAGTGATCTGCTCCTGGATTTTAGTCATGAAGGTTTTATCTGGGTTTTCCTCCATGTTGTTGAGAGAGTCTTGTTTGAGATTCCAGGTGAGTTTAGGAGGGGAGAGTGGACAGGGAGTGGAAGCTGAGCAGGTTATAGTGACAGACTCCTTCTCCTTCAGATCTCCTGAGATGATTAGTTTGGGGCTCGGAGGAGAATCTGTGTGTTCAAATCAAACAAAGATTACTTTAACCAATAGACTAGCTGACAGTGACTGTCCTTTCTAAAAAAAAATTCTAAAATGTTTTTCTTCCCAAACTTCCAGCCACCGCCTGTCATCATTACCACGTTAATATTCTGTCATGGAAACTTCATGGAGAAGGTTTGTAATGTCATATATAAAAATGTGTGTGTACTTTGTAAGAAGGAAGGGTAGGATACTTATCATTGTTACATTGTTGTTGTTTTTTTTGTGTGTGCATGTATATGTTTGTGTGTGTATGGGAGAGGAGGGGGGAGGGGTTGAAAAATGTTACAAGGAAAAAATGGTCCTAATGATGTTAAGACAAAAGCTGACAGCACTGTAATTAAAAACTTTAAATTAAAATGTTTTTCTGCTTCTTAGTGTGCCAAGATTGGACCCTTCAATCTCAACCAGTAAAAAGAGTCTCAGTATTTAATCAGAGTTCAACTCGTGCTATGACAATGATTTATTGTTTCTTAATAAAACCTTTATAGTCTGATTAAAAGAAAATGAAACTCTCTTACCTTGGACTTTTATTTGAAGAGGATCACAAATAGCATTTGCCCTGAAAGGCCAGTTCATGATTCTGAAGTAGTATACGCCTTCATATGTCGTCTTCATGTTGTAAATCAGAGTGGTGCAGTTTTTCATTGTCAAGTTTCCAGTTATGTTCATTTCAAATTTGTTCACTGTGCCACTACTGTTAAAAACCACATTCTTTGGATTGGTCTCTTCGTCTTCTTTATACCATATTCCAAATGTTTCTGTTGTGTTGTCAAACTCTTTTTCTTCTTTAACACTAAAGCTACATGGGATTTTCAGACAAGTTCCACTCAGTGCTTCCATCTTCTTTGGTGTAGTGATGAAGAGCGCTGACCAATAAGTCCGACATACATCTGACGCTTCTGTAAAGCAGACCATCAGTTATTATAATGTGGAGCAGGATCTTCATATAGAGGATGTTAATGAGAGTCTAAGAAGTAATGTGGTGTGCTCTGGTCTTTTTCTCTCTTGTTCACAAAGTCAGTCTAAAACATTTCACTTTTCAGTCAGGACATGAAGAGATGAAAGAAGAAACTCTCTCTGCACTCTTCTCTCTGCTTTGTTTCTACAGGAAGTTCAAACTGTACAGATTAAACATCTTTGAATGAAAGTAAGTGAACAAACAGCTCACCTGAAAGAGAGAAGACAGTCAGTAACATGATGGCTGTTACCATGTTCACTGACAGGACTGCAGTAACACCCATCACCTGGAATTAAAAACTAAGTTACTCTTCAAAGTCCTAGTTAAAGAGTTGGATGAACAAAACAGTCAATTTCACTGAAAGAAAATAAAAGCTGCTGAAAACTAAAACATAAATAGCAGTCATACCTGATCTTACCAAACAAACCTCCAGGAGCTTAAACAGAGAAAATGTAGAAAAAAGACGATTTTTAAATTTCCGCAGAACTGCAACAAACCAGTCACCTCGCTGCTAAGACACAAAAACCACAAAAGATTTATTCCTTTCTTCTTGTACCATGAGAATGAGGAAGTTAGTGTTTGACACCTCTTCTGTTTTATTTAAATGTTTCCCTTTTTTAGTAGTGTGTTTAAAGACAGATATGAAGGCTATATTAACCTATAGGTCCTGATTGGCCTCGGCTTCAAATATGTTCCTTCAAGGAGAGCAGGAGACGTGCATTCAGTTCACCAATCATATTTATTTAAAAATGATATACTTGGTGCTGGAGTACCTGAGCAAATAGAAAGCAACACAAAGTTTAATAGAAAGGTATTTTTTATTTCACAATAATAAATATCTAAAAGTTATAGCTACTGATTTAAATAAACTATAACAAATATAACCAGACCGGGTACTTACCGCAGGGAGATTCTATCACAGACTCCACTAGATACCACCACGTAAGCTCACTGTGATCACTAACGCTGCAACTTACACTGCAAGAAAAAAGACAATCTTCCAAACACTTGAGTGTCCACCACCAGCAGGCCGACCACACCACATGCAAGAAGTGGTCTGGATCCCACACGTACTCCCCGCTGTGCGTCCCCGCTGCCTATAAATAAAATAAAACAAAGACAAGCATGAAGTCCATTTGGTCCAGTTTCACATAAAGGTTACACATTCATGGGTTTAAATATGGGCAGGTACGCAGTAAATTATCCACCACAACATGGACAGTGAGCACAACAACCATGGCCGAGTCCAGTTCAACAAACAATCTCTCTGGTTGTTATACTTCCCCTCTTTTTCATCTTTTTATATCCAACCACTTCTCTTATAGGCTTATCAGACACTCACAGATGTAGTTTCATCTTCTATATAACATCAAACATGTCGAACAGACTGACATGTCAAACTATTTGTGTTTATTAAAATAAAAAAGGGAGATGTCTGTCTCAGTTTCCTTGTACTGAAAGGATTACTAATAATGCAACTTTATAACTTTATAACTTAATAACATTTACCAAGGCCTGATGAGAAATGCTTCAAATGATCAAAATGTTTTTTTTCCCTTTTTTTTATTACCTTTTTCAAAGGTGAACAAACAAAAATAGGGCAGTAACCCATACATTAAAATAATCAATACAACAACAATACAGGTAAAAATACAAGTAGTAACCAAAGTCGAGGATTCCCACTTCAATAATATTAGGCGTCTGGCAAACGAGGGTAACAAAGGCTGTAAAGTCTGCTTCTATGGAGGAAAGTGATACTGTGGATGGAGTAACACCAAATAGTGCAGTCATAGCATTAGGTGCAATCGGTTTACCAACAACCTTTGAAAGTGTCCCTAAGATGTTTTAAATGTTGTTGAATCAGAGGTCATCTACACTGTTATAAAGCTGTCTCAGTACTGCTTGCCTGTTCTGCCTCTCTGTCACTTCCTTTAGCTGCATTACAGCTTCACTGCATTGCTCCATCCATCCAGCAGATGTCCTCGTTTGGAGACGCTCAGCCCTGCACCATATTTACTGTCTCTTTTTCAGACAGTATTGTGGATGTTTTTTTTTTATGATACATGTAGTTAACATCATAATTGTTTAAAAATGTAGAAGTTTTACATCTTCATCTGGTTATATTTTTTTCCTAACTTTAGCGTAGAGATCGTCTGGGCTGCCAGCAGTCTGTGCTCCACTGTTTCCTCTCCCGGACACTTTGACTTGTGCATACAGTGTCTCCTGCTGCTGTCCTCAGTCCTGTACCGAGTTAAAGGACTCTTCATGTCTCATCTTGGAGAAGTCTATCTCTCCGTAATGGATATTTTCTTGTACTTCTTCCTCTGTTTTCCTTGCTGGCTCCTCAGCAGACATCTCTTCACCTGGTTGACTCTGAAAAAAACAAATCACCATTAGACCTGTGGGTTGAACCTTCAGCAGGATGCAATAAATATTTTCAGACCCATCTCATCACTGATTAAAAAAATGTAGTCATTCTCAGTTTTACTAGAAATGTGTGAAAGTGTTGTGATAACTTAATATTGTGTTTTTACTTCATCTCAACTAATGTAAAGTTTTCATATTTCCAAAAATGGTTCAATAGAAATTAAAATTATGAGTCAAAAGGATCTTATCATGACGTTGTCCCACATGTAAAATATATATATGTTAAAAATGGCATTTTTAAAGGGGCTAAAGGTGGATATCATATTCCCTTACAGTCAGAAGGCCCCTGGTTCACATCCCTATTTGGTCAGGACATAAAAGTTAACACCATGTTGACCAAACTACTAAAAGGATTCAAAGTTGACCAGGGGGGCACCGGTGGTACAGTGGTTAGTGGGTGCCCCCCATGTACGGAGGCATTAGTCCTCCAAGCAGACAGCTGCAGGGTTAAATCTGACCTGTTCCTCACTCTCTCTCTCTCTCTCTCTCTCGCTCTCTCTCTCTCTCTCTCCCTGATTTCAAACTCTATCCACTGTCCTATCTCTTAAATAAAGGCACAAAAAGCCCCAAATATAAATCTTTAAAAGTTGACCAGGAGTTTTCTTTTTGTTTTGAATGAGTACAGGTTCATCTCAACTTTTCATCTTAATTTTGTAAACGTGAGAGTTACATCACAGCCCAGAGACTGCTGAGAAAAAGTCATTAAAGTGGATGTTTAGAAATTGTGAGTGACAGATGGACAACGTGAGCAGATGTCAAAAAGTGCAGCACTGTGAGTCTGTGAGTCACAGTTTTGTGTTTTCCCACCTGAGTCCGTTGTGCAGTTGGGTGTTTTGACTTTAAACACCTAGAAGACATGACAGGCTGTTAGATTGTACTTTGTTCCAGGTTTGATTCATTGTTTTCTGGAGATTTGTATTTATATATTTTCAAGTGCTGCTGAAATGCCAGTGCCAGTAACTGAGTCATCAGCTTCCATCTGTGGTACTTACCAAACAAAGACAACCAGACAGATGAACGCAATGATCCCAAGGATTCCACCAATGATTGCCTCCCAGTGTAGAGAGCTCGCAAGCACAGCTAGTGAATAAACCAGACCAATATAAAATACAAAGTGGAAACTTCTGATGTTACTATATCAAAGTGCTAAACAGGTAAAGCAGCAAAAAACACAAAAAGTCAGGCATGAAGCAACAGAAGGCTGGAAGAGTGAAAATAGCAGATTGCCTCAATGGTTGTCAAAGTAAATGTAGTGTTCACCTTTCTCCTCAAATCTCAGATGGATCTGTGGTGATGTCTGATTACCGAGATCATTCATGGACACACAGTAATAAACTCCTCCCTCTGTGACATTAAAGCTGTAAAACTCTCCTTCAGATACGATCATGGGTCCATCTCTGCTGATCTTGAACCAGGTGAAGCTGCTGACAGGAGGATTGGCTCTGCTGGAGCAGGTCAGGTTCACATGAATACCTGCTGACACCAAACCTGATGGACTGATGGACACTGAGGTGTTTTTAGGAGCATCTGAGGAAAATGTAAGATAAACATATTTCATTAAAAACAGCAAACATCTTTAAAATCGTCTCATTCTGACAGGATCCAATAACAATCTCTGGTTGTCTCACATGAAACTCTGAGAGTCTGTGTCTCCTCTGCTGTCTTGACTTCTTTTCCTTCATTCACAGGATATGTGGCAGAACAGGTGATGTTGTATCCATCATGTTTGTCCGTCAGAGTGATCTGCTCCTGGATTTTAGTCGTGAAGGTTTTATCTGGGTTTTCCTCCATGTTATTGAGAGAGTCTTGTTTGAGAGTCCAGGTGAGTTTAGGAGGGGAGAGTGGACAGGGAGTGGAAGCTGAGCAGGTTATAGTGACAGACTCCTTCTCCTTCAGATCTCCTGAGATGATTAGTTTGGGGCTCGGAGGAGAATCTGTGTGTTCAAATCAAACAAAGATTACTTTAACCAATAGACTAGCTGACAGTGACTGTCCTTTCTAAAATGTTTTTCTACTATACTCTTCCCAAACTTCCAGCCACCGCCTGTCATCATTACCACGTTAATATTCTGTCATGGAAACTTCATGGAGAAGGTTTGTAATGTCATATATGAAAATGTGTGTGTACTTTGTCTCCTGGGATGATTAGTTTGGGGCTTGAGGGAGAATCTGTGGGTTTAAATTAAAGATATTTCACTGACTGGACCACACTGTTAATTGCAAAATTAAAAGAAAACGGTGTATCATCTGTCTCTAACCCTTGCCATAATGAGAGCCTGGAAAATAGAATAAGTTCTGCTCAGACAAAAGCTGAAACAATTTGTATTCTAAGTCATAACTCTACAGTCTGAGTGAAAGAAAACATAAGTATCTTACCTTTGACTTTTATTTGAAGAGAATCACAAACAGCTGTTGCCCTGAAAGGCCAGTTCATGATTCTGAAGTAGTATACGCCTTCATATGTCGTCTTCATGTTGTAAATCAGAGTGGTGCAGTTTTTCATTCTCAAGTTTCCAGTTATGTTCATTTGAAATTTGTTCACTGTGCCACTACTGTTAAAAAACACATTCTTTGGATTGGAGGTCTCTTTGTCTTCTTTAAACCATATTCCAAATGTTTCTCTTTTGTTGTCAAACTCTCTTTCATTTTTAACACTATAGTTACATGGGATTTTCAGACAAGTTCCATTCAGTGCTTCCATCTTTGGTGTAGTGATGAAGAGATCTGACCCTTCAGAACAATCTGCCAAAACACCTGTAACAAAAGAACCTGTGATAAACATAATGTGGAATATATTCTGTTATATATCAACTACAATTCAGCTGGTTATAGTGTCTACCTGGGAATGAGCCCTTACCAAATTGTTATTATCCCTTACATTATCCTCCGTCTTTATCCCTCCCTCCCATGCATTGGGCACACATTCTCCATCAGAGGTTAAGCAACAAAACTAAACTAAACAGACCAAAAAAGTATTTAAATCCGTACAGAAATAGTGCATTGGAATGAAAATGCAAATTAAATGGATGAGCAAAATGTTTTAGATGATTAAGATAAATGTGGCTAACCCAACCGGATTATTATCCCTTTCCAGCAGCTTATTAAACCATCAATAACTTTTGTGATCAGTTAAAAAGTCCTACTCCTGGGGCACCGGTGGCCTAGTGGTAAGTTAGCGCCCCATGCACAGGGGCTGTGGTCCTTGAAGTGGGGTCCCGGATTCAAATCCTTGTTGAAATCTATATGTATGCGTGGCCTCCATCCTTTGTTCAAAAAGTGATCACCTGAAGAAGAACTCTGCGGTGGAAATGTTGCGATGAATTAAAACTTTTTGTTCCCTGCGCCTACAAGCTTTGCATATAACTACCTCCTTGTTCTTAATGAAAACACACAATCTTTAATCCCTCTGATGCTGTTGAGAAAATGAAAGATGAGCCACCGTCTAGCCCAAATGAGCTGTAGAAAAAGTTGAAAATGAATGCATGAATTGTTGAAAGTATCAGTCTGGTGAATTACCCCTACTTTACACTCGAATAATAACTTTGATTGTTTTGTCTTAAACCCTCTGAAACTGGGATAAGAAAATGAACCACTAGTAGGTTTTCGGTCAGATAACAATGAGTCATCAGATGGATTCAGACGCTTTACTGGCAGAGTGAGGATCATACACACACGGTGCATATTTCTTTAGTGGACGTTATAAACATTAGGCACAAACATATATGTCTTCTGAGTTGTATCTCCTGATGTCATCATTAATTATAGAAACAATGAATACACATCTTTTATAAATGAATATTAAATGTAACAGTTGATACAATTTCTAACAACACAGCTAAGATAGCCAGGCTAACTAGTTAGCTAAACACTTATTATTCCACAAACTACATGAAAAGTAGTATAATAACATCAGAGAGCTAGCTGGCTAACTAAAGCTAGCTAAGTATAGTTAGTTTAACATGTAAGCTGAACATGTGAGCTTCCAAAAGAAAAGTTGAAAAGAAATGATCTCCATTGTGTGAATTGTTGAAAATAAGTTTTTCAGTCTTGTGAGTTACCCCCAACTCTGCAAATACTCTTTTAACTTTGATATTAAAACCTTAGAAATCAATGACCAAAGCCATTTCATTTATGAGCTAGGATGAAGAAATAACATCAAACTTCCTGATCTTCTTTAAAAAAGACCTTCAAATGTAAATGAATTGTTAGATTTTTAATGTTATGCTTTATTGCGTATTATAATGATGTTTTAAATTGTGAACCGATCATGAATTAGTTTCAAAAGCCATACTCTGCTTCATGACATGTATGCATCTTTGTTGTTTCTTTTTCTCAGTGTTTGTTCATTTCATCATTTTTGGAGTTCTGTTGTAAGTCTACAAATACAGACAGAAAAAGGAAGCATCATGTCCGGTGTTTCACTTTTCCCCTCAACACAGTCAGTAATGACCTTTCTCTTTATTCAGTACTGGAAATGAACAGGTGAAAAAACTTTACCCATCTTGATACTTTGTTTATGAATTAAGTCAAACTGTAAATAATTAATGTTTATGATCGAGTGGCAGAAAACAAACACTCACCTGAAAGAAAGAAGGCACTCAGTAACATGTAGTCTGTAAACATATCCACTGACAGGGCAATGACACGCTTCATCTGGATTTGAAAAAGAAAAGTTATTTTTCCAATGTGTTAATCCAAACATTCTTCAAACAGAGCCTCCTTGTTGTCTGAGCTTAAATTCATGTTGTGGAGCTTATTTTACCAAACTCATCACATTCCCTCAAGATAAAAACTCATCAAAGCACCATAATGAATGATGATGGTTTAACAGCTTGAGTTTTTAAGAAGTAGAATTTTACCTTACCAAAAAACCTGGACCTTAGAAAGAGAAACAATTTGTTGTGAAATCAGGTAAACTCATCAAACCAGTGATTCTCTCAGTGAGCGATACCCTGCTGAGCTGCAGCATTTAAACAACTCTTTGTCCTTCCTGCATGCACCCTGTGGGAGAGGCAGTCCGTTTCTAGTTAAACTTTAGCTCATCTCAATGCAAATCATTATTTTGATAATTTTACTGCAAGTGAACATGCCTTGTCTTATTTTCATAAAGATGCAAAAGTGACACAATAACTTCTCTGTTTGACTTTTGTTTTTTTACAATATTAAACATGTTATATGGTTTCAATAATAATATTGGAAACATTGGACCAAGTGTGAGTTCCCTAGAAATGAAAAAAAAAGTAGGATAAAAAGTTTTGTACTTAAAAGATAGAAAAAGAAAATGATAGAACAATTCATAGCTCAATGAAGAAGATTATTTTGAGTTCAGTACAGGTGTTGAATGAAGCCTCTTACCTGCCTGGTAAGTCTATACCTGGGACTTCGTGCAGCCCTCTCGCTCCTGCTTGCCATGCTGGTGCAGCTTTGTTTGTTGTAGGTATGTACATCCCATTTGAACTTGTTTCCTTTGTTTGGTTTTAACTGTGTGACACATTTCCTGTCCCGTGATTCTGTTGAATTATTCTTCATAAAGTCTCATGGTGGTGAGTACGGTTAATCCGCATTTATTTGCAGTATGTTGCAGCCATAATTTTTAGAACTTTAGGGTGACCTTCAGTTACTGCTACTTTTTTGCCTCCTTTAGCACTTGATTGTTGTTGTTTTTTCCCCCATAATTCTCTGTTTTCCCCCTTTAAACTCATTGTTTTTGCCCCTTTCAACTTATTGTTTGGTCCAATTTATTATCATGCGTAGGTGTTTTTTTTGTAATGATTTGTACATTTATTTGAGTAAATATTTGGACTTTTTTTTGTTGGTTTATATAAGTAAATTTGCCTTTTCAACCAACTGGGTTGTGTCTTTATTCTGTTTGGTTGTTTACTCATTTTTGGATTTGGATATTTTTGCTCCTTTGTAACAGTGTGAACAGCACATGTCACATGGAATCTGATCTTCTCAAATCAGATCTGGGCCACTTTAAAAAAAAATAAAAAATGTGATCAGCCAGACAAAAAAAAACTGATCTGAGCAAAAAAAATCAGATGTCTGTGCGATACAAATATAGATTGATTGATGAATTGAATGAATTCTTGTGTGTAACAACACAATCTTGAAACAAATGAAATAATAAGTTGCTAAATGCACTTCACAAAAACATGTGCATAGTAATGCAAATAAAGAAATAAACAGTAAACCGCGTACTCGCACTCTTTTCCTTATCATTCAAATTTAAATTAAAGGTGCACTCTCTAGATTATAGTGAAATGTGAAAGTTGGAGCAGTGAAACAATTCTCTGCTCTATCTTCTGAAGTGAATACACAAACTTTATTCAAAGGAAAAACTGGGTCCCAGGAACTCTGTTTGGAGCTACAAAGCTACCAGGAGAGTTACAGTGTCACATTTGCCGGTCCACCACCACAACTTCTCGCTTAGCATTTTATCTCCAAACAGTGTTACAGGGACCAGATTTTTTGTGTATAGAGTTATGAACACATATAACACAATCTGTGCACTTCTACAACTTTTACATTTCTCTACCAAAACTCCATAGTGCACCTTTAACCTTTCAAACATACATTTTTACATGCATTTAAAAGAGAGGAAAGAAGGACTGATTTTAAAGAGAAAAACCACAGGAAAGTGTTGTTAATTAGTCCACATCAGTAATATGCTGTATCCGTTTTGTTCCCCATTATAAAGGAACATGATAAGGGTTACATTTTTAAAAAGAAGACTTTAACAACAATGATGAGACGCCAACATATTGGTTGCCTCTAAGAGGAATGCTTTAAAAAAGGTTTAAATCTACCAGTAGTTAATTGTGGTTCAGGAAGTCTCACCAATTAAATGTTAAGTGTTCATATCTTAAATGTTTCATCACATTTAATGCCACATCAGCCAGACAAAACCACACAAAACCAGACAGTGGCAAGACATGACAAGTTTAACAATAGTCATTACTAATGTTCATTGTAAAAGACATTAGTCTTTAAGGTCTAAAGTAAAATCCTTTCTTGAAAAAAAATTACTTTTTTTAGTTTTCAGACTTTATTGTCACATATATATATGAGGGCAAAATGGTTCTTACAGATTTTGATCTTGTTAAATTATGTTCACAACTTATTTCACGGCCTGTAGGTGTATTTAACTTTAAGTGTAAGTGTGAGCAGAAAATGCGTGCAAGCCTCCAATTGTGTAAATGTGTAAAAAGGACGTTTTTAGCAGTGGAAATATTTTCTTGCAAATGGTTTTCAGGCAGATATGATTTGAACATAAACATAAGTAACACCAAAAAAAAGTGTTGTAGCTGCAGGAGTATTTTGAGTTTTTCAAATTCAAATGTGTAACATTTATGTTTTTAACAATAAGACTTGACAAAGTCCAAGAGGTGGGTACACAGATGTGCTTATTCTGTATGCTACCCTGATTGTATCAGCTACAAACCTCAAGCTACAAGTAGGAGTTTTGTCGCTAATTGTACCCGTGTGCTTATTTGACATTTATATACAGTTTACATTCCAACAGCTGCTTGATGCTAGCACACACCTAGGGCCGTATTAATGACTGACATATGAACACTGTAGGACATGGAGATGTGGAGTTTCTCCTTAGTCAGCAGAGACTACATTTTAATTTCCAGGATCCAACATTTTTTCTAATTTACCATAAAGAATAAAACATGTAGGAAAAAAAAAAAGTATATTGTCATTCATTATTTTTATATGCTATCTGCGTATGCATGCAAAATGACTCATTTCTTCCACCTGTTAATTATTCTTCACTTCAGCATAGATATCTTCAGGGCTGTCGCTCGCCCTTGTGAAGCCAGACCCTTTGACCTGTGCATACAGCGTCTCCTGCTGCGGTCCAATGTCCTGCCCTGGGTTTGAGGACGGTTCAGGATTACTCTTGGAGAAGTTTATCTCTCCATAGTGGATGCCTTCGTCAGTGTCTCTTTTTGCCAGTTCTTCACCTGTTTGACACTGGGGGTTGAAAAAAACATGACTTTTATTGAATATCTGAATGTAGATGGTAATTAGAATTTGTAAATCATGCAACAGCGTTACTCAACAACAAGACATCTAAAAAATATTTAAAACACATTTTCTTTTGAGGTACAGGTTGTTTGTTTCCTTCAACCACAATAATTAGCTTACAGGATATGGTGTCACATGTGTTGTTTCAACACATTTTTACTCCGTCCTTGACTGCTTTGTGAAAATGCTTTTAATAAACATTACAATAAAACCGATGCAATATGTTAATTGAGCATGTTTGTATCAAAAAGATTAGCCCTACCAGAGATTGTTGAGATGAGCCATTTGATTTTAACCGTCTCCAAAACACGAGAGCACTGCAAATAAACCATTAATAATACATTTGAATTAGTATGCAGACTAAATGTATAAAATATGTAATTTGAGAAACTGCTTTAGTTTCCGACACTTACAGAATTACACCGACTACCAAGCAGATGAGTAAGATGATCCCAATGATTCCTCCAATAACTGCTCCCCTTTGAGATCCATCAGTCAGTCCTGCTCAAAAGACATGAAATACAACTGACCTGACACTGCTGACACATGTTAAAGCTCCTATGAGCAGTTATTTCTTTTAACCGACTGAAACTAACTTTGATGCCAGTTTATGACCATCAAACAAGGCAATCAGGACAAGATTATTTCTAT